TAGGGTTAAAGTTTAATTTCAAAATTATTATTTTAAATTAAGTAACATTTAATTAAATAATAAGTTAAAAAATGAAAGTAAACCCTAAACCCCGTTCTTGATCGTCGATAATTGCTGAAACCCAGGTTACACTCGAAACCCTGGACACCAAACTACCTAAATCCTAAAGCCCCCTGTACCCCCTGTATTCCTTAAGCAAAGCACACACCAAAACTTGACAGGACCCTTCAATGCACCCGGATGACCCTTGGATGCAACGATCAGGCCAGGCACTGCATCTAAGGGTGTTTTGTGTGCATCCAAGGGTCATTGAGGGGTACTGGTCTGGTGGGATCATCGCCTTTGCTTCTGTCCCAGTGCCAGTCACTCGTCGCGAAGTTTGAAGTTGTCAGCAAGTGATGCATTCAACTTAAACGTTGCATTCAAGGCTCCAGGCACCAAGGCACCCAGGCTCTCAGGCTCCAAGGCCTAGTAGAGTGTGCATTTTGACCCTACCCACACAGTGTACGCTGCCGTTACGTCACTGTGGGCACCGTTGGCCGGGTGTCGGGCCGCAGGAACTCAGCCTTGAGGCCAACCTGCCAAGGCAGTGGCAGATGACAGCTGGGCCAATGGGCTAATGCGCCAGCTGGGGCAAAATCTGGGCCAGGGATCCTGTTGTCCCGCCAGATTGTTCCTGCAATGAGGGGGAGGCTTTACTGCTGGGATCATCGGCTTTGCTTCTGTCCCAGTGCCAGTCACTCGTCGCGAAGTCTGAAGTTGTGCAAGTGCAGAATTCAAACTTTGCATTCAAGGCTCCAGGCCCCCAGGCCCCCAGGCGCCCAGGCTCTCAGGCTCTCAGGCTCCAAGCCCCTGAGGCTGCATGTCTACCAGCCCTCCGTGCGTCTCCAGGCACTTTGAGGCAGTGGCTGGATGGCTGGGGTTCGGGCTTTCAGAGTGCCACCGATGCCAGCACGTTTTGGTCTCGGGGCGACCAAGCTTCCACAAAGATTGATACAAGTCTTCAAACTCGTCATTGTTGTTCGTCGATGATAGTTGAAACCCAGGTTACACTCGAAACCCTCGTTACCACACCACCTAAATCCTTAAAGCCCCCCTGTACACCCTGTAAATTCCTTAAGCAAAGCACACACCAAAACTTGACAGGACCCTTCAATGCACCCGGATGACCCTTGGATGCAACGATCAGGCCAGGCACTGCATCTAAGGGTGTTTTGTGTGCATCCAAGGGTCAATTGCTGAAACCCAGGTTACACTCGAAACCCTCGACACCAAGCCACCTTTATCCTAAACCCCACCCTGTACCACCTGTATTCCTTCAGCAAAGCACACACCAAAACTTGAAAGGACCCTTCAATGCACCCGGATGACCCTTGGATGCAACGATCAGGCCAGGCACTGCATCTAAGGGTGTTTTGTGTGCATCCAAGGGTCATTGAGGGGTACTGGTCTGGTGGGATCATCGCCGTTGCTTCTGTCCCAGTGCCAGTCACTCGTCGCGAAGTTTGAAGTTGTCAGCAAGTGCAGCAATTTAAACGTTACCGTTGCATTCAAGGCTCCAGGCACCCAGGCACCCAGGCTCTCAGGCTCCAAGGCCCAGTAGAGTCGCTGCCGCCATGATTCCAGGCACTTTGAGGCAGTGGCTGGACGGCTGGGGGTCCGGCTTTCAGAGTGCCACCGAGGCCAGCATCGGTGCCACTCATGCCCGTTTTGGTCTCGGGGCGGCCAAACTTCCACAAAGATTGTTGGTGGGAACTGATTGCAGTGGCATTGATGCACCGATCCATGGCCTTAGGGAGCTCGGCATCACGCACCAGCATTTGTTTGGGAGTGAGGTGGCTGCTGGTCCTCGGTCGGTTATCGAGGCTAATACCAAGCCCTCGGTACTGTTCCACAGTGTCCTGGATGCTGACAAGGCACCGTTCGTTCACCTGTACATTGCCGGCTTCAGCTGCAAGCCGTTCAGCCTGCTCCACAATAAGTCAAGGCTCCTCAAGGAAAAACAGGCTCAAATATTCTATGGGGTCGTTGCACGCATCCAACTTGTGCGGCCCTCGTGCTTCGTGCTGGAGAATGTGTCAGGCATCAAGCGTGTTTCTGCAAAGGTTCTGGCGGCACTCAGGTCCACAGGCTATCATGTCGAAATGATTTTGATGAACCCTGCCGAGCTACAGGAGCCCATCCAGAGGCCTAGGTACTACTTCATCGGGGTCCGGCAAGATGTGAGCCTCATCTCGCCAAAGGACATGTCGTGCTGGCTTCGTGAGGCTTGGGCGGAAGTCCAGGATTCAGTTGCTTCCGGAGACGCAGTCGATCTTTTGGATAGACTGCTACCGGCGAGCCACCCTGCTGTGGCACAGTACCAGGAAAGCCGCAAACGGAAGTGGTCGCAAGCTTCCAACCGTGGGTTCCCAGGCTCCCAGGCTCCAGGCTCCCATGCTCCAAAGTGGAAAGAATTGCACAAGATGTGCAAAGCTTCAATGCAGCAGGGCAGCCGGTT